TTTATCTTCCACTATCTGCCAAAGTCTGTCCAAGATCATATTCATTGCTCCCATGATACCATTTACCAACTCATTCTCTGCTGTCCCCTTCTCCTTTTGCCGTCAATTTTCCCTAACATCAGGGTCTTTTCCAATGAGTCCTGTCCTCTCATTATGAGGTCAAAGTATTTAAGCTTCAGTTTCAGTACGTGACCTTCCAGCAAACAGTCTGAGTTAATTTCTCTAAGTATTGACTGATTTGATCTCCTTTCTATCCAAGGGACTCTCAAAAGTCTCTAGCACCACAATTCGAAAATGTCAATTCTGTGGCACTCACAATCCAACTCTCATAGCCATACATCACTACTAGAAAAACCATAGCTTTGATTATACAGACATTTGTTGGCAAGGTGACATCTCTGCTTTTTAGTATGCTGTCCAGATTTGCCAATTTTCCCCAAAGATTGTGTCTTTTAATTCCACAGCTGTAGTTGCGTCTGCAATGATCTTCAAGCCCAAGAATATAAAATCTGACAATGCTTCCATTTCTTTTCCTTCTTTTTGCCAGGAAATGATGAGACTGGTTGCCAAGATATTAGTTTTTGTTTTTCTTTTTATGTTAAGCTTCAAGCCAGCTTTTATACACACCTCTTTCACCCTCATCGAGAGGCTTCTTAATTTCACTTCACTTTCGGCCATCAGAGTGGCATCATCTCCATATCTGAGACCGTTGCTATTTCTCTTGGCAATCATGATTCTCACTTTTGACTCATCCAGCTTGACATTTCACGTGATACATTCTGCATAGAAGTTAAATAAAGTGAGAATATGCAGCCTTGCCATACTCCTTTTCCAATCTTAAGCCAGTTATTTCATGTTCAATTCTAACTGCTGCTTCTTGGCTTGCATATAGATTCCTCGGGAGACAAAGTGAGCTGGTACTCCCATCACTCTGAGGACCTGCCACATTTTGTTGTGATCCACATAATCAAAGGCTTTAGTGTAGTCAATGAAATGGAAGTAGATGTTTTTTTTCTGGAACTCCCTTGCTTTCTCCATAATCCAGCAAATGTTGGCAATTTGGTCTCTAATTCCTCTGTCTCTTTGAAAACCAGCCTGCTCCTCTGTTGATTCTCAGTTCACATATTACTGGAGCCTAGCTGGCAGAATCTGAAGCACAACCTTGCTAGCGCGTGAAATCAGTGCAATTGTTCTGTAATTTGAACATTCTTTGGTATCGTCCCTCTTTAAGACTGGGATGTAAACTGATCTTTTCCAATCCAGTGGCCACTGTTGAGTTTTCCAAATTTGCCAGTATATTGAGTGCAGCACTTTAACAGCATCATCTTTTAGCGTTTTAAATAGTTCAGCTAGAATTCCATTACCTCCACTAGCCTTATTGTTAGCAATGCTTCCTAAGGCCCACTTGACTTCATTCTCCAGGATGTCTAGCTCTAGATCAGTAACTACACTATCATGGTTATCAGTGATGTTAAGATCTTTCTTTTATCAGGTATCACGTATGGGACAGCTTTTATTTCACGAACCATGGAAAATACATAGGACTAACTATGGATTCAAGACAGAACTAGACCTTCTGGTTGTTGTTTTTGTTGTTGTTTGTCCTTTATTTTCAAAGAGGACCAATGACATCACAGGGTGATGTCTAGACTGGTGCGTGAATTGTATATAAATGAGGCATAGATGCACAAAGTTGGCAGCCTCACTTTCTCTTCCAGAGTTGTCAAAGTCCAATGGTAAAAGTCAAGATGGCTGGTGATGCCCCAGGATGCCACCTTGGTGTCTTTGATGTCTGATCAAGCTCTAAGTGCTCCACAGCTCTTGCTTCAGCCTCCTTCATAGCCATTGGAACAAATTGTTCTCATTTACCCATTCTTCTATGGGGAAGTCTTCACATGTTTGGGATAGACACCCCTCCTAACTCACCAATGGGTCTGAGGCCAGTTGGCTACCCTCAACTGGTTTAGGCTGTCTACTGAGACAGTAGTGTGAATGCTATGTATGCGATACCTTCTTGGAGCCATGGATGAAAATAGAGTGCCAGAGGGCAGCTAGGTGGCACACTAGATAGAGCACTGGCCCTGGAGTCTGAAGGACTTGAGTTCAGATCTGCTCTCAGACACATAACACTTACTGGCTGTGTGACCCTGGGCAAGTCACTTAACACCAGTTGCCTAGCCAGAAAGAAGAAAGAAAGAGAGAGAGAGAGAGAGAGAGAGAGAGAGAGAGAGAGAGAGAGAGAGAGAGAGAGAGAGAGAGAGAGAGAAAGAAAGAAAGAAAGAAAGAAAGAAAGAAAGAAAGAAAGAAAGAAAAAAGAAAGAAAGAAAAAGAAAGGAAGGAAGAGAAAGCAGGGTGCCAAGTAGATGCCAAAGCTGGATCAGCAGCCTTGAAAGGAATCAGGCAAGCCCTTACACCAGACGGCTAGTCTTCCTTGAAACCCACCCACCCAATATACCTAGCTCTAGTAGTAGAGAATCAGTCAAGCTGTGGATAGAAAAGCAGACCTAAGGATCCCAGCTGAGCAGTTCAGCCAGCAGAACTGCTGTACCCAGAGGGGAGCAGCACAAGGACTCCACAAGGGGAACACTGGAACCCTGTAGTACTAGAGGTGAGAGTACCTTTGGCCCTGTGTCCCTTCTAAGTAGACCTTACAATTAGGGTGCTCTCAGCTTGTGTCCATTCTTCCTATTGATGATGTGATTATGTATGCAATAGAGCATCACAGATTTATGGGCAAATGTTTTATAACTACTATACTTATCATATCGTCCTGGTAAATGCTTTGAGCTATTAAATGTAAGCTCACCAGTGGGGGCTTTTCACTTATAGTTTTAGGAGCTTGAACCCATGGAGTACTAGTACCTATGAAAATACATACTTCCTGGGGGTGGGGTGGGAGAATCCAATCTGTGAGTGAGACTCTATGATCCCTTTTCAGTTCTGATATTTTAGAATTCTATTTTTTAGAGAATAGAAATGTAATGAGAGGATGCCTTTCCTTGGATTCTGAAAATAGCACCAAGGAGGGATAAGACAGGGCCTAAGATCCATAGTTTCAGGTTGCCTGGTAGTAATAATAGTAATAACTTGTTAACATAATACTAAAAGATATGAAAAGTCACTCACTATATACATTATCACTAGGATAGTAAAATGCTAGAACTGGAGTCAGAAAGACCTAAGCTCAAATGTAGCCTCAGATGCTTACTATCTATGTGATACTGGGCAAGAAACTTAACTTGCCTGCCTCACTTTTCTCATCTGTAAAATGAAGGTAATGATAGTACCTACCTCCCAGGGTTATAAGGATACAATTAGATACATAATTGTAAAGTGCTTTGTAAATCTTAAAGGGCTACATAAACACTAGCTATTATTATCACATTTGATTCTTACAACTCTGGGATGGCTGCGATTAAGACATTTTGCAGATGTGGAATCTGAGCCTCAGAAAAATCAAGTGATTTGTCCAGCGTCACACACCTACTAACTCTCTGAAGGCAGAAGAATCTGAACTCAGGTCTCTCCAACCATCAGCTAGGTAACAGATAGAGTACCAGGCCTGAAGTCTCCAGGAAGGCCTGAGTTCAAATATGACCTCAGACACTTACTAGCTGTATGATCTGGCCAAATCACTTAACCCATTTATCTAAATTTCCCCAAATGTAAAATGGGAATCATCGCAGCCTCTACCTCCCTGGGTTGTTATGAGGATCAAATAAGACAATAATTGTGAAGTACTAAGCATGGTATTTAGCAAGTGTGTTAGCTGTTATTTTTAAGTAATATTTTCTAACATTAAACATTATTATTAAACAATGATGTATTATTATTTTATAATATGTTAAATAATAATATATTAATTTAGAACAGTGGCTGGCACATAGTAAGTTCTGCATGTTGTTGTTCAGTTTGGACTCTTAAGTGACCTCATTTGGGGTTTTCTTGGCAAAGATACTAGAATGGTTTGTCATTTCCTTCTCTAGCTCATTTTACAGATGGGGAACTGAGGTAAATAGGGTTAGGGGACTTGCCACCGGTCACACAGCTAGTGTATGAGGTCATATTTGAACTTAGGTCTTCCTCCACTCCAGGCCCAGCCCTCTACCCACTGCACCACCTAGTTGCCCCTAAGTGCTAAACAAATGTTAGCTATTATTATTATTCCTGACTCCAAGTCCAGGATTACATCAAAGATATAGAACTGGGGGCAGCTAGGTGGCGCAGTGGATAGAGCACCGGCCCTGAAGTCAGGAGGACCTGAGATCAAATCTGGCCTCAGACCAAACACTTCACACTTACTAACGGTGATCCTAGGCAAGTCACTTAACCCCAATTGCCTTAAAAAAAAAAAAGATGCAGAACTGGCAGGGCCCTTAGGCCAACTCTTTCATCTCATTTTACAGTTGAGGAAATTTAGCCCCAAAGGAGGTAAAATGAGGTCACACAGGTAGTACCAGGTCACAAACAGAACTTGAACCTAGATCATTTGACTGCAGAGTCTCCTTTCTACTTTTCTGTGGGTCATGAGGCAGCACAGACACCTCCGGGAACGTTCCTACCTCCAGTCAGTCTCTTTGTTCACCCCTCAGGCCACACCCTCAACCTCTGATACCCTTAAAGGTGGAGCCTTGAAATTGAAGGCCCCTTCCCTTCAAAAAACTACACTTCCCAGCATGGCTAGCGCCAAATGCCTGCCCAGGAGAGGGGGAAGGTTGGCGCATTGCCTGCTGGGAATAGTAGTCCTTTCTGTCGGCGTACTCCGCCCCTGGCACGTGTCTCCCCCAAGGGCCGAATCTCCACGACTCTAGCGAGGATCTATCTCTTCTCTACATGGGCCGGGAGGTGGGGAGCGCTTTCCGGAGCCCTTTGGGATGACGTCATCTCGTCGAGCCCGAAGCCGCTCGGCCCCTGCCCGTCACCGGGCGGAAATGGCTGAGATTGGGAGTTAGCGGTATTGTTGGGGAGCAGGGTCTCCAGTTTCCGCTTCCGGAAGGGGGGGAGGGGTGGCCACCGGCCGGGGTGGGGTGGGGGGTCCCCATTGGAGAAACTAGAAGCGAGATGGTCCTGATCAAGGAGTTGTGAGTAGGGGTTCCGGGCCCGAATGGGAGAGGAGGGTTCGGGGGGGCCAGTGTTCTACAGAGTGGTGCTAGGGACCGGGACGGCAGGAGGGAGGCTGTGCGCGAGAAATCCCTGGACCAAGAGGCGGGGGACTTTGCCCCAGATTCTTAACCAGTTTCTGCGTGCGTGAGCGAGTCGTTTTAACCTTTCTGGGCCTTAATTTCATCAGATGTAAAATGGGGAAAACCACGCTTGCGCTGCCCATCTGTCTCACTGTAGACCCAGCTCTAGAAAAGTAATGATTGTTCATGACAATTACAGCTGCAAAAAGAAAGGGTCTCCTTCCCCAGCCTGTCCCCACTCCCCTCACTACGTGTCCCTTCTTTTTGCAGTCGGGTGCTACTTCCCTGCTCCGTGGAGGAGGTGAGATGTTCCCCCCACCCATCTCCTAGTCCCTGGTTCTCACCCCACCTTTAATTCTCCCCAAGGGTCCTCCTCCCACCATCTGCCAGAGGAATGAGGGAGGCTGCCCACGGTCTGGGCTCTGTCCATTTCTCTTTCCTCACCCAGCTGTTTTCTCTCTACGCTCAGTATCAAGTGGGACAGTTGTATTCCGTGGCCCAGACCAGCAAGAATAACACTGGGGGCGGTGAGGGCATCGAGGTCCTCATCAATCAGCCTTACGAGGGGGGTCCTGGTGAACGGGGCCAATTTACCCACAAGATCTACCACCTGCAGAGGTGAGGGTGGCTGGGGCACGCAGCCTGGAGAGGGCATCGGGGAATGGTTCTGGCTTGGCCTGGACTTTTGGCCCTTGACCCTGTCTTCTTTCACACTGCAGCAAGGTTCCAGGATTTGTTCGCCTGTTTGCCCCTGAGGGTTCCCTGGTGTTTCATGAGAAGGCCTGGAATGCCTACCCATACTGCCGGACTGGTGAGGACAGTTTAGGTGGCCAGGGCAAGAGAGGGCCAGAGGCCTGGGTCTGAAAAAAGGCAAGGGGTCCTGGAACATCAGAAAACTGAGTTTAGGCACTCTCTGTCCTGGGGTGGGAAAGCTGGTGGCTTGGAGGCCCCTTGTGTTACATAGCTCTAATCTATTCCTCTTCTTTTCCCCATCTCTGCCTTTTTTTCTTCATTTCTCTAAAATTACTTGCCTTCCATCTGGCCACTGCTGTCTACCTTAGTCATCACGGTAAGAATCCCTCTTGTCAGAAAATGGGGAGGGCCAACTTGGGTTTAAACTAAAACACATAGCTGGCTTTCATTAAGTCTTTCCCTGTTTTTTCTATCCAGAATGAATATATGAAGGATGACTTCTTCATCAAGATTGAAACCTGGCATCATCCAGACATGGGGACTCAGGACAACGTGAGTGTGAAGTAAATCTCAGTGAGGCTGTAGAGTAGTTAGAGCGCTGGCCCAGAGTCAGGAAGACTTGAGTTCAAATCCTGCCTCTGACACTAGCTGGGTAACTTGGGCAAGTCACTTAACCTTTGTCTGCCTCAGTTTCCTCAACTGTAAAATGGATATAATCATTGCAACTACCTTCCAGGGTTGTTGTGAGGATTAAATGAGGTAATATTAGTAAAGATCTTAGCCTGGCATGTAGTAGGTACTTAATAAATGCTCCTTCCCTTCCCCTTTCACCTAGATGTCTGGCTATGTTTACCTCTAAGAACTTTAGTCACTAGCCCTCTGTTCCCTGCTCCCATTGTTTGTCCTCTATCCCTAGAGAACTTAGGGGTCACCTGTACTGATTATTTCTTGTCCATCCTTATAGCGTCTATTTTCCAACAGAAACTTCATACAGGCAGGTCTGAGCACAGCTCCCCAATCACACTTCTGTTCTTTTGCCTTTCTGTGTCCTCCCCCCCAAAAAAAAATTCCCTATCTTGTCTCCTTCCATTCTGAAAATCCTGTGTTTTTATCAAGGCTTAACTGAACTTGAACTCCTTCTCATGAAGTCTTCTCTAGCTCCTCAGGCCTCTTCCCTCTCCAAAATCCTATCAGCAGCACTTATAATCAGCTCCACAAAGCTTAGTACTTAATTATTTTCTGTTTTACCTGTAGTAGGTTGCTTCTCACATTAGATTAAGGTCTTTGAAAGCAAGCATCATGTCTTATACTTCTCTTGTGTCCCCATACAGTGCCCACTACAGTGCTGAGCACCTAGTAGGTGTTCAATACATGCATGTTGGTTGACTGGTATTTCTCATACCAGTTCTCTGCTGGGACTGGACAGATGTTACCAAGCTCCTCCTATGGTAGCCCAGCCTTCCCTTTCCAGAGAGGAGGTAGAATGCTGAATCTCTACCATATAAAGTAGTATTTAGTTATACATATCCTGTCTTGTATTGTTCATAGTTGTTTCATGTGTTTGAGTATTCTTTACTAGACTATAAGCCCTTGGAGGGCATAGTGTGCCTTATGCTTCTTGTACTCCTCACAGCGGCTGAGCACATAGTAGGTGCTCATTAAACACTTACTCATTGACTTCCCTCAGCCTCCGTTGTCTGCTCCCATCACAAGCATCCTGTTCTCTCTCCACCCTTTCACTAGGTTCATCATCTTGATGCAGAGACATGGAAGGAGGTAGAAGTGGTTCATATTGACATTGCTGATAGGACCCAAGTGTCTGATGAGGTAAGTGAAGCAGATCTGGGGACCAGAGGATAAAATACTTGAGTTTCAGGAGGGGCCGTGCCCAGGCCTCAGGAAGAACAGAGGGCCGGGAACAAAGGCCGGGAGACCCTTTGGGAGAAGGTTGAAGTTTCTTTTACAGCTCCCTCTCTCTCTTCCAGGATTATAAACCAGAAGAGGACCCTGCTCTCTTCAGGTCCATCAAAACAGGGCGTGGCCCTTTGGGACCCAACTGGCAGGTAAACTATTTCCTTATACTTGCCCATGCTGGGCAGGGCTAGGCCGGGTAGAGGCTTGGTCCCCAAAGACTATTGGGTTAGCAGTGTGTCTGCATTTATATCTTTGTACAGAGGGAATTGTTGAAACATCCACCCCACATGTGTGCCTACAAACTGGTGACTGTCAAGTTCCGATGGTGGGGGCTCCAGGGACGAGTGGAGAGCTTCATCCATAAGGTTGGAGGAGGTGGATAGGGTGGCCTTGGGTTCTGATTCGGAGGGTGGGAGACTGGAGACCAAGATTCAGACTCTTACATAAAGGGCTGAGATAAAGATGTAAAATCTTTTATCTCCAACACAGGTAGGGGCCTGGGAGCAATGGAACCCTGGGTCTTTGTGACAGATGAGCTCATGTTGGTGTACTTTCACAGTAACGTATTATACTTTGAGATGACAGGAGAAACTAGCATGTGATCTATCTTTTTGTCTTTTCCCTGCTCTGGATAGAAGGAGGGGAAAAACCTAGTTAGATCATGTGAGCACCCCAAACCTCCCATGTATAATTAAGTGACTTCCCATCTGGCTGAGAGTGAGCCTGTAGTTGTAGAACAACTGGATAAGTCCCACATTGGCTCTGGAGCACTCCTGGTCCACAAAAAGACCGCCATGTCTAGAGAGAATCATAAGCCCAACTTAGGCCACGGGGAATTAATTATAGCATAATACAGGAGGTTAAGTGTGAGCCGATTTGGGACTAAATCCACATCTTTATTTTGCACTGTTATCTTCTCCTAGGGAATTATTTCTGGATTTGTGTATTCTCTAGATAGACAGTCTTGTGATCTGGAGTGTAGGTTGATAGGGTGGAAAGGAAAGAGGGCATGGCTTCTAAAACCAGGTATCTTGTAAGAGTTGCAGGTAAGTGGAAAAAGGAGATGTAGATTGGATTTATGATATCACTCAACCCAAGAAACTAGGCATACTGAAAGATAAGGCAAAATCCAGAGGCTTGGTACCTACTGTTGGATGTCAGGAAGATGAGACATTAAGGCCTAGAGCCAAAAGCAAGATCACTTAGACCAAGTCCAAAGAGGTGCTCTTGCCCCAGGAAGCTGATCAAGACCATTGGGGCCTAAGGCCTCTGGGGAACCAGGTCAGAACAGTGGGAGATTTGAGTGGATTCTTGCATCTTGGTTATGTGTGCTGCTTCTGGTAGAACCCTCCCCCTCTTCCCACAGCAAGAAAAGCGGCTCTTCACCAACTTCCACAGGCAGCTGTTCTGTTGGCTGGACCAGTGGGTTGATCTGTCCATGGAGGACATCCGGAACCTGGAGGAGGAGACCCAGCGAGAATTGGACCAGGTAACAGTTCAGCGTGGTGGGTGGATGGGGAGAACTGGGAAAACTGACCAATCAATCAGCACATATTGGTGGACCACTACTATAATCTCAACACCGAACCAGGGGCCCAGTGGACCTCCTTGAGGACAGGGTCCATCCTATCTTTCTGTTTTTTTCTCTGATGCCTTGCCTGTAGCAAGCAATCAGTAAATGTTTGAATTAATTGAATAGGGAGATGTTAGAAGAAAGAGAAGATTTGGAGAGCCTACCCTGTCCTGAAGGAGCTTACAGCTTAGAGACTGATTTAGATTGTTTTCCTAACAACAGCCATATGAATGAGGTAGCGCAAGTATCAAGTATCGTTATCCCCATTTTGAAGAAGAGGAAACTGAAACTCAGGTTGTCCGTGGTCATACAGCGAGGGAGTATCTGAGGAGAGAGTCAAACCCAGGTCTCCTGACTCCGAGGTTAGGAGTAGAATATTCTAATAGAGGGAACAAAGGTGCCAACTGAGACAGATGAATCCAAGACTGCTCCTCACCCAACCCACATTAAAAGAGGGTTCTCAGTTGAGGCTCTGAGAGCCCTGGGTTTTAACCTGACTGTATCTCCTGCCATACGTTATTGGGCAAGCCACTTCCTTGCAGGCTTGGGTTTCCTTCTCTGACGGTGAAGGTAATGGCCCTGATGACCGCCAAGCTGCCTTTAGTTGTAGTGTTCTGTGGGTGTATTTCTTGTTACCTGTCTGATCCTGTGTTTGACTCCTCTTTCTCTTTAGTTCTGCCTCCAGACCTCCTAGTACAGTTTTAGCTTCATTCCTTTGGTTCAGTCCCCAGGGGAGATTTGAGAAGAGATAGTAAGTGAAAGAACTCTGGTGCTAGCCCACCAGGAATACTCTCTGGATTTAGCATTTTAGATTATGTTTTTATTAATTAATTTATTTTTAGTTTTCAGCAATCACTTCCATAAGCTTTTGAGTTTTATATTTTTTCTCCCTCCCTCCCAAAGATGTTGTGCACTCTAATATGGGCTGTACAGATACATTCCTATTGAACATATTTTCACATGAGTTATGTTGGGGGCTTTTTTAGGTGTTATTATTATCCCTTTCTTATTATTTTTTAAATTTTTATTAATTTATTTTTAGTTTTCAACATTCACTTCCATAAGCTTTCGTATTTTAAATTTGCTCCCCATCCCTCCCCAAGATAGCATGCAATGTGATATAGGCTCTACATATGCATTCTTATTAAACATATTTTCACATTAGTCATGTTATAAAGAAGACTTAGAACCAATAGGAGGAACCACAAGAAAAAAGAAATAAAACAAAACAGAAGGGAAAAAAAGAGCAAATAGTATACTTTGACCTGCATTCAAACTCCATAGTTCTTTTTCTGGATGTGGATAGCATTTTCCATCATGAGACTTTTAGAGATGTCTTAGATCCTTGCATTGCTGAGAAGGGCTAAATCTATCAAAGTTAGTCATCACACAACATGGCTGTTATTGTGTAGAATGTTCTCCTGGTTCTGCTCACTTCGCTCCGCATCAGTCCGTACAGGTCTTTCCAGGTTTTTCTGAAGTCTGCTTGCTCATCATTTCTTATAGCACAATAGCATTCCATTACATTCATATACTAGATTATTTTAAAATGATGTATTAGAACCTGGGAACAGAGCTGAAAAGGGAGAAAAGCTGAGAAGGACTATAAGAGGGATGTGGTCATAAAACCAGGAAAGGTACATACTAGATTGGGTGGGGTTCCCATTTCCTATGAGGACAAACACCACCAGCTGCCATAGCCTCCATTCTCATTCCACTCTGGGTTTCAGATGCGGAAGACGGGGCCAGTGAGGGGAATGAGAGCCAGTGATGACTGAGACCTCAGCCAGACCTGGGCAGGTAAGGAGAACCCTGGAAAGGTCTGCTTGGGAGGAGTAAGTACCAGGCTGCCTTTGAACACAGTAGAGTGCTGGTCAGTGGTGTCCTACTTGGTGAAATGCCAGGCTTCAGGTACCTCTGTCCTTCTTGCCACCACTACCCAAGGACCGGGGAGGGGTTCACCTGGGCTGAAAACTTGGTACCTTATCTCCTCTGTATCCCTCCTCAGTAGTGAGTCATCAGCAGGACCACATTCAGGCCAGTTGTTTAGAGTGCAAGAGCCTACTTTAACTCCAGTGTGAGGATGCTCAGGGTCCCGACTCTACAGGTTGGTAATTGCAGGTGCACAGCATAGTTTCAGAGTGCAATCTTGTCCAGCTTAGGAGGTAAGTCTTAGAGATTTCATAGGTTGGGATTCTTTTTTCTTTAAAATTTTTTAAAAAATATAAACACAGTAACCATCAATAAAACCAAATATTCATATATGTGAACAAAACTTTTCTTAATGAAGTCCCTAAAATTCCAGCCTAGCAGACCTGGATTCTTCTGCCGAGTTCCCCTCATACCAGCCTCTTTGTGACTTAGGGTCTTGTCTGCCCTGCTCCCTGAGAAATTTGTCTGCTCTTTTTAGTTCTCGCTACTTCTGCCCTCAACAAAAGGCGGAGCTCTGCTTCCAAGTTCTCTGTCTCCTAAGCTCAGAGGAAATAGGCCCTTTCTGCCTGGGTCTCCAGGCAGTCTGTCCCAAAGGGAGGCTTCTGGTCAGTCAGACTCTCCTGGTCCGCCATACTCCTGCCCCAGGTTTTCTTGTATCCTCTCTTTTCTCTCCCTTGTTGCCCCCGATCAATCCCAGTGTACCTTGTTTCAAAATTATGTTTTCATTGATTATTTACTCTCTTCTCTTTGGCATACATTTGTGTATGTGAGCTCTTTGGTTTATGTAGAACACACATCTGATCTAGGGAAGAATTAGTAAAAACATGAATGGGAGGGGCAGTGAGGTGGCACAGTGGATAGAGCTCTGGCCTTGGAGTCAGGAGGACCTGAGTTCAAATCCGGCCTCAGACACTTGACACTAGCTGTGTGACCCTAGGCAAGTCACTTAACCTTGATTGCCTCACCAAAATGCAAAAAAAAAACCAAACCCCAACAAAAAACCAAACCATGAATGGGAGAGTTATTCATTATACCCCATCTCAGGAAAAACCAAACCCTCATCCCACCCTGCCTTCTCAACTTCTTCCTCTCTCACACCCAGGTACCTACCCCGAGATGGAAAATTGAAGGGAATTTGGTGCAGCGTCTACCCAGTAGGCAGGAGGAAAGAGTGAAGCTGCTGCTTTTGGGGTGGGGTAGCAGGGATGGGATACCTGTCTGCTCCTCTCCAGCTCTCTCCCACCATACTCTCCTACCCTGGAGTGTTTCCCATTCCCAGAGATACCTGGGGACCGAGAGGTGGAGTAACATTCCAGGGCCAAACACTACAACCGCTGCTCCCTTTCAAGCCTGGAAAGGACACAGGAAGTAGGGGCAACTTGACTTACCACTCCCTGTTCCTGATGCCAATGGAGTCAACGCTGCACAGTAATAAAGTCCACATGGGCCCCTAGGCCTTGCATTGTTGTCTGTGAGGGTGTGCGTGTCCTTTGAGGGGTGTAGGGAGGTGGGCCTTTACCTCCTGTCCTACGCTGCCCTTCCTTGGGCCCTGGCTCCGCTGACCCTGCCCTGGGCCCAACCATAACAATAATAATAATAATAACAACTATAGCTTATGTTTGCTCCTCATAGAAACCATATGAGGCAGGACAAGGAACGTCTCTGTTTTACAGATAAGACTGAGAGTCAGAGAGTCTATGAGCTGGTCAGGGTCTCACAAGAGTAAGTAGTCAGCAGGAAGTTGAACTGGAATTTTTTGGCCACAAGTTCAGTGTCTTTCCCAAGACCCCATCAGCTGTAAAGATATGGAACCCCCTCCTCAGCTCCATACCTCTCAAGGACCCAGAATGGGCTCTTATCTCCCTAGGTGATTCAGGGGAACCCATTCCTGGCTCCTGGTTTTTCTTTGTGCCGCAGGGTGAGTTGTGGGGAGATACCCTTTCTATCTTCAAGGTGATGGGTAGATGAAAGAGCCTTGTCGCCTGGGAGCCAACTCCATAGAGGTTAGGGATTTCTGTCTCCCAGTAGTAGCAGGATTTTCAGGCACCCATGGGAACCCAGAAAGAGAGCCTCTCTTGTCTTCATGGTGAGCTCCTTAGGACACAATTGTAAAGCCCCTCCTACCCCAAGGGAAAAGAAATGTGGGGCCGTGTAAGGGAGAGGGGGGCCTGGATTTGATTTCTCTGCTCAGGACACAGCCACTTGTTAACTAAAGCAGTCCAAGAGTTCACATTTTTTAAAACTGTATTGAGGAGGAAAGGAAGTAAGATGCCTAGCAGAACAAAATTTTGGAAGAACCAAAATACCCGGAAGTGAAAAATGTCCAGCTAAGTTCTAGCTGCTGTGACCTTTCCTTTGCCTACTAAGGAGGATCAGGTCATGTGGTCTATAAGAAGGATAGCTAGTTCATTCTGGAAGTGAAGCCTAGCATCCCCCTTGTGCTGGCCACTTTGCTGAACCCAACTTCCATCTACTTTCTTCCTTCTTTATACCTCTACACCCTTCTTAATCATTCAGTGACCCCCATCTCTGATCCTCCAACTGCTTCCCCTGACACATTTCTTTAAAAAAAAATGAATTCTTAGGAAAAAGAAATGAAGTCCTTTCTCCAAATAGCATCTTATTATGGAGGTGACGTGGGAAGGATCATACACCCTTCAGACAGCCCTGGGTCTCTCTTCCTTCAGGGCCATTGATTCCTGGAAGCCCTTAGCTCTCCCTCCAGAGTGACTGGGTTCCTGGGGAAAAAATTGGTATTTCCCTGGCCTGGAGAGCCAACTCTAGTAGGGCCCATGCAAAAGGACTGTAGGAGGGGAGGATGGGGAAGCCCCCTCTGGTTTCTTTCTCACTGCCAGGGACCTAGCTGGGAAATCCCACAGGCTGTAAATGGAAAGTGGCAGCAATTGCCGTTGGGAAGAATAAGAAACCCCCAATACTGCCTCACCTCCCAAAGATGGGAAATCCAGGGGAAGAGAAGGACAGGAAGCTGAAGGCAATCCTAGGATCTTAATGGTCTGGCAAGCCTAAGGACTGTAAGGATCATTACCAGTGAGGACAGTTTTCTCGTGTCCCAGCCACACTCCTAACTTAGGCCATGATATGAATCTTTAATACCAGCCATCAACTGATGAATGAAAGACAGATTTTGTAATCTCATAGATTTTCTTTTAATCCCAGCCACAGACTAACCAGTCATCTTTGTCATATAATGACTCCAACTGTGGCCACAGATTGACTCAATTCTAGCCTCAAATTGACCCCAAATCCAACCACTGATCCCTAACTTGACCATAGACTCTGATGCCAGCCATGGATTAATTCCCTAACATTAACCATAACCTGATACCCTAACCAAGCACAAGGTATTAAAATTCTATAATCTGAAAAAGAATCAGAATAAGTGTGACTCTTTCAGTGCAACTTGTTCCCTCCCACTCTTGGTGGGGGAAAGCCCTCAAAACTATTTTTCTTGTGGCTGCCTGGTCAATGTCATTTAATGGGAGAGACAGCCTCATTCTAGAAATGTGCAAGAAATGGGCAGGTAATTTATGTCTGCAGGAAAAACAGATGGACACACCATACTGCTAATGCAGTGAATGTTCTGTAAATAGTCTGAACTGTTAAAAATTCAGAGGATGAGATGATCCGAGAATCAAACTGGAGATGGTAAATGGCAAAGAGGAAGAGCCGAGACCCAGCTACCTAAGGAGGAAGCCAGTCCATTATCCCAACCCCTCTGTTGCCAAAAAAACTCCGGCCCCCCTGACTATGGGAAGGGAAATTACATTTCCCCATTTCAGAGGAGATCGAGAGCAAAGCCGAAAGTGTAAGTAGTAGGGAAACTGAAAGTGGGGGCTGGCCCCCCCGTATAAGAACCCCAAGAAGGGGGATGGCTGGTAAGAAAGACATTGCCAGAAGATGAGAGACAGGAGCTGGCGTGAGTCATGGAATAGGGAGTAGACTAATTGAGCCTCTGGAATTGGATTTGGAGATGAGGGGTGGGTTTTGGGATGTGTGGGCCAAGGGGCTTGTGGCATAGAGCCGAGGACCAAGGGAAAAGATTCCCTGAAAGTAAAGACAAGATAGAGTTGAAGGGAAAAAGAGGGCAGAGTATGGTAGGGCAAGAGGGTGGGGCCCTAGTTCCACTGGAAAGGGGTTGCAGGGCAGGCAGGGAGTCTTGCTCCCAATAGAGGAGCATGGTGTTGGGGGCAAGGGGCAAGTAAGATCTGTAATGAAACTGTAGCCCAAGACTGAATGGAAGAATCTATTATACTTGGCATAATGAAGTCTAAGGGGTCTAGGAATGGGTTATTTAGGGCTCAGTTCAGCTTCTGGTCATAAGGCCCCTAGGTAAGTAGGTTTCTCTATTGAGTTTCAGGCTGTGTGACTGCCGTCTCACAAACTTTATTCTTTGTAGGGAGAGAAGTAGTGGTGCTAGATTTCCTCCTCCAGAACAGTATTAAACTGGAATCTAAGATCTAAGAATCACAGTGGTCCCTCATCCCAAATATAGGACTGTCTGGTTGATCAAGGGGAGTGATGATACTTCAACTCTCTTGATCCCATCCCCTGAAGGGCTTCCCATGCAACTGAGATGGGAAGAATAAGTCATCCTGAGTACTGGAACCCAGGATGAACTAGAAAATGGAGAGGGCAGGAGTGGAGAAGGAAAAAGGCAGGTTAAGGTGTAAGAGGTGGGGGCATTCCTTATCTGGGAAGAGGGATGGTTAGAACATGGACAAGGATGAGATCAAGGGCAGAGTTTTGGTTTGTGTTTCATGGAGAGTTGGGTAACTCCAATAATTAAAAGATTTTCTTTTCCTGAAAGAGAAGCCCCAGACCACTAATTCTTTCAGACTCCTATCCCTCTACTCCTTCTACTACTCCCCATTCCTGCCCTCCCTCCTCGGTCCCTCCCTCCATCCTTTATTTCTCTTTCCCACTCCTAATCCTGTCCTTCCAAACTTTTCCCTTCCTCAGTCCTTTCCCCTAACTTCCATCTTCTGTCTCTCCCTTTGACCCATACCTCTCTCCCCTTCCTTAACCTTTAATCCTCTATCTTTACCTGACCACTTTCCTATTACCCCTTCATTCAGTCCCATGCCTGTGTACCCGTCTCCAACTCTCATCCCTTTCCCAACCTTCATTCCTCTGTCCTTACAAGGTTCACCCAAAAGTAACATTCTTTTCTTTGATCTCCGCCCCTGTCCTTCTGACCGTATTCTTTGTCCTTACTCCAACATCCACTCATTTTCTCTTCACCTCAGCCCTCATCCCTCTGTCCCTCATTCATTGATATTCCCCCAACCCTTCCTTCTGAACCTCCATGGTCTTCCTTCCCCTGGGTTGTCTGTTAATTTAAAGATTTTGGAAATATTGAAGTGCCTTCTCTATGGAGAGCACTGCACTAGGTACTGAGGGAAGTATAAAAATTAAATAAAGCACACCTTTCATTCATAGAGCTCACACACGCACACACACATAGACAGACATTCACATTTCTGTAGTTCTTGCCCCACTAATCCCATCTCTCTTTTCTACCTCTCAATCCTCCATTCCTTTCTCCATCAGTCCTTTCCCTATCACAGCCTCATTCTGTCTGTTCCCTAAATCTCTATCCTTGTTCCTTTTCAACCTTTGATGTTCTAGATCAGGAGGGAATCCATTATATTCTGGGAAGTCTGAGTAGTCCCAATTCTACTGGACCCCCAGATCTACCACCCTTCTATACACACACCTATCCAGCCAGGTAAAAGGGAGCCCAAACTCACTGGTTCCTTGAGATTGGGATGCCCTAGGAGCCCCCTGCCACACTCTGGGAGCCCTGGGCCTGACTAATCTTTCTCCAAGTCCATTAGAGTTGGAGCCAGCTGTGCTCAGCATCCTCTTCAACTGCTCACTTACTCCCTTCTCCCCTGTTCTACTTTCTCCTGATCTCTTGTTCTCCTCCCTTTTTCAAGGATTTAATCTCTTGCTGCTCTCCTTGCTCGTGAGCAAAGCTGTCATCTGGGGAGTCCCATGGCCTCGAGGGCAACCTCCACATGGTTTGCTGGACATGAGGAGTGAGTTCAAGATCAGCCTGAGGCTTGCCAGAAAGCTGCTTTCAGAGATCCGGGGTATTGCCCACCTCTTTGTGAGTCATCAGAATCCAGTTGACTAGGGAGTGGAAAAACTTGCTGAGGCTTGGTTGGCAGGAGGTTGGCAAGGAAAGCACCTTGGAGAGCTCCCCCATTAATCTTTTGCTTCTACAGGCAGATACACATCTGGTTGGGGTGTCCTTGGACTTCCTACCCCTGAGGGAACGGCTTCCCAATGTTACCATGACATTCAAGACCTGGCTTCAACTTTCAGTGAGTTAGGGAAGAGGGTTGGAGTTGAAGAAGCTCCTGAGGATGAGGATGGGGTTAGGGTTTTGAGCATGAAGATGATGATTGATGAGGGACTGAGGTAGGGAGTAGTGGATAAGACTGAAATGGATAGGACAGGGTGGAGGAGGGGTATGAAGGGCTGGGATATGGGATGAGGATAAAGATAGGATAGGGATAATGATGAAGGTATAAGATGTGATTGGAAATGAAGGATGAGGAGGGCTTTGAAGGAGTTGCATAGATGCATAGAAGAATGAATAAAGAAAATGGGTGGGCTAGAGATGGAGTTGGTGTTTGAAATGATCTCATGATTGAGTCAAGGCCTGGGCGTCAGGGTTCTGTGTTGAGAACTTTTGATCCCCTGCCTTAACCCCATTTCCCTGTCTGATTCTTCTTTTCCCAGGACCCAGATCGACTTTACTCCCTTTCCAGACTTCTGGGCCACTTCCAGGATCCTCTAGGAGAACTAGAGAGCCACCAGGGCTGGCAGGGTTCCCTGAGGAAACGTCTGTGGATCGCTCAGATGGACCTTAGAGACCTGCAGTCTCATGTCCATTTCCAGGTGTGGCCACCCCTTCCTCTGCCCGCTAGGCTCACTGATATCCTGAGTGACTCTCTGCTTTTTTCCTGGTCTGTGTGAGACTCTCTTGATCCCTTGTTTTTTGTCATAGCTGAAGGCTACAGGATTCAGTCCTCTGGAGAGACTAAGGAAACACTGGGTCCGGAGGAGAGGGCCTTTGGAAGACTTCCTCTCACTTCGCACCAGTTCTCCTGGCCACAGCTCCTGAGCACCTACCAGCTTCTACGATCCCTGGAGCTAGTCCTTGCCCGAGCTGTCCGAGATTTCCTTCTGCTCTCAAAGGGGATTGCTCACACACAGTCCCTGACTACTTAAGAAGTACAGTCTTCAACCAAGGCGTGATGACCTTCTACTCCCTGTATCACCTTCCAGGATTGTTTCCCTCCCTCCCTTACATTTGGTTTCCAACCTGAGGCCAAACTTCCTGCCCTGAGCCATTTGGGAAGGAGAGATCCCAGATTTTAGTCCAATTACCCATCCCCTGCCAGTGGTACCATCTCTGGTTAAGAGACTGGCATGTGCCCCTTTGGGTTCTTTCCCACCTCACGTGCTAAGCCCATTCCCATCCCATAATTTAAGAGCCCTTCAAGTTCAGGGAAGATATTTATTTCTTGGATATTTATTTATTTTTCAGCAAAGTGTTGGTTGTATTTATTCTTTTTTGCAAAACAAAAAAAAAACACCAAAAAAACAAAACAGGGGTAGTCTTCCTTCAAGAGTGAGATCAGATACTCATTCTTAGGCAACCTAATAATAAATACTCACAACCCCTCCTTCTCTCTTTCTCCTCTGAGCACATAAGTACTCTGAGTGGGCCCTATAGCAGAAAGTATTGTCACTTGGGAGCAGGAAAATAGAGGGGAGAAAAGCAAAAGGAGATAAAAGCAGAAAGTCTTCAAAGGCAAAGTGCCTGTGATCATCTCTTACCCCCTCATTGCCATTGTGTGGAGCTCTTCTCTCTGGGGCAAAACCATCTTTGAGGAGCCAGCTTGACCTTACTCAGCTGTAGTGGCTGCTGTGGCAACTAGCCTTGCTAGGCTTTTAACAACTGTCCTAGCGCTTCTCTGGGCTACGGCTGCCTTGGAGATAGGGATGTGTTTGGTGTCCCTGCCTGGTCATCCTCCCTAGTCCTTTGCTGAAGCTATTTCAAACAACTCAGCTCTAGTTAGCCCAGGCTGACATTCATTCTAGGATCTCTGGGCTTCTGGCACATTCCCTCTCTCTCCCATTTCTTGTCTGGACAGCATGGAGGGAATAATCCACATCTGGACCCTATGTCTTGAGGAGAAGTGGGACTTCCTAAAGTAACAGGCATGATAAGCAGATACCACAAATGAACGTCAAAACCATCGTTCTTTCTTTCAGTCTTTGATCTGTGAGCAAATCCTTTAATAGCTAAGTGTCTAGGTATTTGTGTTCAAGGATGGGGGGAGGTAATGGTGGTGGTAAAGCCTTCAAGGGTATGAGACAAATGAATGCAAGTCTCTTTAATTCTTCCTTCAAGCTTCTTCTTCTTTGTCTTCTTCATCTTCTTTTTTCCAATTCCTTACCATCTGGGTGAGATAGGAAAAGCTACCAAGGGCTGGGGCTTCCCTTCTAGGGATCAGAACACATGATTAGAAGTCATCATGAGGTAGGAAGATCACCCCAGGCTTGAAGGTGGGGTTGTGGCCAGAGATCAATGTAAGCATGGGGAAAGGTGGAAGAGGGGAGGGGTATTAGGTTCATGAGACTTCAGGTCACTGGGGCGTGGGCCGTCCCAGACGAGCCTGTAACTCCTGCATCATGTTTGGATGAGCAAGGCCAAACCTGAAGGAGTAAAGAAGATCATGGAGAATTAATAGGTCATGATTGGGTCCCAGGGACTGGTTCTTTTTCCTCCTTCCTCACCCTCACCCACTTCTCCTTACCCATGGCCTAGGGGCTGTTTCCTTGCTGTGACTGGGGTCTCCTCTGGCTTGGGGGAACTTGGCACTGAAGTTTCCTCAGATTGGAGTAGTCTCAGTTTTGAGCCTGGGGATCCCTCACTGGGAAGGAAGCCCAGAGACTCATCATCATCATCACCCTCACCCTTCTTTGGTGCTGGTGCCTTTCGAAAAGAGGGTCGTGATCGGCGTTGGGAGGCGTTCCTGGAGAGGAGAACTCGACTTCTCGGAATGGAGAGGTCCAGGCATGGACCAGGGATGGGGACCTATGGGAAAGCAAGAGAGAGAGGAATCTTGGGATCACGTCCAAGGTTTGGTCCTAACTTGGAATCTCACTAGGTACTTTACTTTATCATTAATATCAACAATGATTATTTACATTTTAATTATACCTTACAATTTTATAGCACTTTACAGTTTTCAAAGTCCTTTCACGTTATCTCACCTCACTCCAGCCGCTCTGGGCTTCATCAGCAGGATTGGGTGCAGGAGACAGTCTTGGTGCTATTAAGTTGGTGGGTGCTGTGGCTTCTGTCTCCCTGTTTTCTGATGCTTCCAGGGCTCCAGAGTCTATTTCTGCAGCTCCTTCTGTTCCCCTGCCTTGACCAGGCTCAGCTTTCTCCAAGTCCCAGACTCTTCCAGTCTTCTCACTGGATTCCCAGACTCCAGAAGCTTCTGAGTCCTTGTCTCCATCTCCCCAGCCTGCTGCTTTCTCAGTGTCGGAGCATCCAGAAGGCTCCAACTCCTCCCTGTTTCCATTTCCTTGAATGTCTGCCCCTTCTATGTTGTCACTGCCTTCCATCTTCTCTGCCTCCAGCCTCCTGCCCCCATTAGCCTCTACTTTCTCCATATATTGGTTGTCTGCGGAACTTTCTCCCTCTACAGCATGGCTCCCCCCAGCTTTGGCCTCTGCCTGGGTGTCTTCCTCATACTGTGTCTCTTCCTCCACAGTGCAGGTACTCTTAGAGTTCACACCTGGGTCTCCAACTCCCTTCTCTGTTTCCCTGTTTTCCTTGCCCTCTTCAGGCTTTTTCTCTGACTTGATCTGCCCCTCCTTCATCTCTTCCTCCCTCATAAGCTCCACATCCTTGTTGGTCATTGCTGTCTGTATCTCTGCTCCCTGACAGAAGGCAGATTTCTCTTTTTCACAGTTGATCCCTGCCTCCTCTTTCTCAGCTATCGAGGATTCTTTAGCATCTGCTGAGCCTGTTCCTTGGCCTCCCTCAGATTCCTTCTCCTCCCTCTTCCAGGTTCTCTCAGCCTCTGATTCTTCTACAACTTGGTCTCTTTCAGTCATTCCCTCGGTTGCTTCACATTCTTCAGTTCTTTCAGCCTCCCAGAAGCCTTTATTTTCTTCCTCCAGTGCTTCCCTGTCTCCAACCTCTAATAAATTTGAACCTAGACTTTCTCTAGTTTCTGTTCTTTCCTGGCTAATTGCCTCTTCTGAGTCCCAATCTCTTTGGATTTCCTTCCAGTCTCTTTTCATCTTCTGCTCTGTCTCCTGGCTTCTTTCAGCCTCAGCCTCCTTTAAATTCAGCCCTACCTTCTCATTTACTATCTCAGTATTCCATGGGCTTCCAGCACTTCCTTCCCAGACTTCTTCAGCCTCTTTATCCCATGTGCTGCTACTTTTTTCCTCCCTCTCCTGACTTCCCTCAACCTCCTTCATCTCCTGGCTTCTTATGACCTCTCCTTCTGCCTCCCAGTATTCTTTAGCTTCCATTGCTTTACTTTCCTGGAGTTTTCTGGCTTCAGACTCTTCCATTTTATGGCGTCTATCAACCTGTGTCTCTTGGCCTCCCTCAAGCTGCTTCTCCCAGACTTCCCTGACTTCTTTTTCCTCCCTCTCTGGTTCTGTTGTCCCAGGCTCCTTGGCCCCCCAGCCTGTTTTAACTTCTGCCTTTGGGACTTCTTGCTGTTTGAGCTCTTGGCTTCCCTTAGCCTCCCAGTTTCTCTTGTCTTTTCTAGTCTGGGGTGTGACAACTTCTTCCTCACCCTCACAGCCTCCCTTGTCTTCTATTTCTGTCATTTGGCCGCTCGCAACCTCTCCTTCCGTTATCTTCCAGCTTTCTACTACAACTAACTCCTGATTTTTCACCTCTTGGACATTTCTATTCTCTGCATTCTTCATATTTTGGGCACTATAGGCTTCCATCTCACAGTCCTCCAAGGTCTCTCTCTCTGAAATTCTGAACGTTTCCTCCTCTCTTCCTTTGACTTCTTCCTCCATTACATCCTGGACTTTCTTGGGCTCTTTCTCTGTCTCTTGGGCTCTCCCAGTCTCTGATTCTATGTTCCAATTTCCCCCAATCTTAGCGTTCTGATCTTCCCTGTCCTCCTCTGTCTCATAGCTTACCTTGTCCTTTGTGTCTAACTTGTGGCTTTTTCCCACCTCTGCCTCTCTCATTAACTTGGCTCCCTCTACCTCTTTTTCTGGCCTTGTTACCCAGGTGTCACCTGAGTCCTCTATTCTTTCTGTCTCCCCAACTTCCTGGGGCCTCCCAGGTTCAATCTCCCAGCCTCCCATGACTTCCTTAGCTCCCACTGACTCTATCTCCTTGCTTCTACTAACATTATCGAGTGTTCCCTCCCAGACTGTAGTCTTCTGAATGTCCTGGCCTCCATTTTGCTCTGACTGATTCTCACAGCTTTCCCCAGCCTCTCCCTCCAAGCCCCAACTTTCTTCAACTTCCATCCCTGATTCTAGAACTTTCACAATCTTCTTTTTGTCCAGGACCCAGAAGTCTGTCACTTCTTCCTCTCTCCCTGTTTTTTGGACTTGAACTTGCTCTGGGAATGGATTTTCCTCAGTCTCTCTCTCCTTATCTTTCTTCCTCTCCCAATCTTTCCCAGCTGCTTCTTCTGTGTCCCAGACCCTTCGAATCACCTCCATGTTCCATTCTCCACTGATCTCCATGTCCTCTGCCTTCCAGGTTTCCTCAGCTTCTTTTTTTGGGCTTGTTTCTGCTGTCTTTGACTTTACAGCTTCCCTGGCCTCAGCTTTTTCTATGACTGAAGTTATCCAGACCTCAGATTTTATGTTGTCTTCTCTCTCAGTCTTTTCTCCTGGCTCCTGGATTCCTTGTGTTTTTTCTATATCTATATCCACTGGCTTTATACCTTGGATTTCCCAAACCACTTCCTTTTCTATTTCCTTTTTTGTACATTTGATCTCAATTTTCTCAGCCTTAACCTCATGCTTCTCTAACTCCTGTTTTTCAGTAGTTTCTACTTTCTCATCTTTCCCAAATCCTCCCCATAGTGCTCCATCAGGTGCCTTCTTGGTCTCATGACTTTTCCTGGTTTCCATTTCTGTCTTCTGGCCATTCCCTGGCTCTCCTTCTTTCATCCTCTGGGCTTTCTCACCTTCTCTTGCCTCTTGCCAATCTCTGACATTTCCTTCTATCTCCTGTGTTTGCCTGTCCTTTTCCTTATCCCATATTATTCCACTCTCAGACTCCGTCCCGAACGCTATCAAAGTCCTTTCTTCAAGATCTCCTGGCTTTATCTCCTTGACTTCTTCCTTCTGTTCTCCCACAGGCTCAGTTTCCTTCCTTTTCCAGTAGTTCTCAGCCTTCCCTACACTGACTTCCTTCTTATGAGGCTCTTGATTTTTCTTGCCCTGTGCTTTTGGCTCTCTGCCACCCTTTTCTTCTGAGGCAAATCCTTCTGTCCCTGAGTATCCTTCAGGCAAGATCCCTTCCTTTTTGCATTCTCTAGCCTCTACTGCATCTGTCTTCTGACCTTGCTTGGGCTCTGTCCCCATCATACACCAAGCTCCTTGGACCTCTATCTTGTAGTTCCCTCCGATCTCTCCTTTAGCCTCTTCGGAATTCTTGTTGCTGCTGTCCCAAGTTCTACAGACCCTGGTCATCTTCTCATTCAGGCATACCCCAACCTCTTTTCCTATCTCCCAGATTCCCTCAGCCTCTGATTCATGGATTTCCCTGGCCTTTTTTTCTTTCCCTTCCTCCAAAGCCTCTCTTGACTCTGACTCTGTAGAGGAAAAAGTATTTTCCAGATCGCTAGGGCTGATCACTTCCTTTTCCAGTGCTTCCTTAGACTCCTCAGTTTGCTGGCCCCCTTCTGCAGTCATTTCCCTGAGCTCCTCCCCTCTCCCCCCATCTCTCCTGCTGAGGTTTTCCTCCCTTTCCTCTGCAGAAGGAACTGTGTCCCCTAAGAAGTAGGAAGCAAAGGTGCTTAGGGAGTCCTGGAATGAGAAAAGGAGGTAGAGATGAAGTGTGAGGTTAGAGAATAGTGACCTCCTTCACCTCAACTTTTTCTTCCAGCTACATCATGATTCCAGGGGAAAAGAGAAACCATGGATACCAGGACGAGAAGAGTGAGGAGCTCAGTTGAGAGAGGTATTTCAACAGAAAGGGGGGGGGAGAGAGAGAGAAAGAGAGAGAGAGAGAGAGAGAGAGAGAGAGAGAGAGAGAGAGCTAGCAAAGGGAAGGCAACTATGAGAGGTCTGTGGAAAGTGGGGGAGGGAATTAGATACAGTAAGTCCTGCAGGAAGAGAAAGGACACCACAAACAGCGGGCATAAAAAGAAAAGTGTATCTATGTTGAGGTTGAAGGTGATTGTTATCAGGGAAATTGGAAGAAAGAAGAGACAGAGGTCTGGGTTTCCAGGAGGAAAAGGATCTTCTAACTGGGACAGAAATCAGGGATCTTCTTGGGGTAAGAAATCTGATTCCCCAAAAGATCTAGGATTCTGGATTGGGGAAAGGGTGTTTGACCTGACAAATTAGGGGAAGGGGTCTAAAACCCTGACATCTCCTTGCCCCTCTCACCAGAGCCTCCCTCAGGGCACGGTGCACCGTAGGGAAGTGAAGCCTCAGGAGTTCCATCGGTCTGTCTTTTTGTCCATGAAGAAAGCCTGTAATGACCTTCCCCTCCCCAGTCCTCCTGCCTTCCTCCTAGTGTTGCTACTTCCTTTTCTGCCCTGACCCCTCCCATTCACCCCCAAACACCACAGGCTACAGAGTTCTGTACTTCAACAAACACAAGCCTGTACCCCGCCCCCTTTAAATCTGGGAATTGTAAATGCATGGACAGGCTGCAGGATATAAATTGGGGAGAGGGGACCTAGGGCTGGAGAGAAAAGAAAAGAGCAGAAAGCTATCAAGATTAGAGGTGGGGATAAGAAACATGGAAACTAAAGCTTTGGTGACTCAACTGCCTGTGCTAATACACCTCAGCTGTTTCAGCACCCCCTAGCCCAAACTCAAACCACAGGCCCTCTGGGAGAGGAAGTTGGGGTTTGCGGTTCCTGCTTCCATCAAGATGAGGGACTGTGAGTGGGGGAAGGGGAAACAAATAGAGTAAGAACAGTGAGTTTAGTGCTCGTGGGAAGTCAAGGCAAAGGTTACCAGCTTCACCTTAGCCCTCCAATCTTGCTGGGTGAAATTCTCAATGTGACTCCCATAGACCCATGCTAGCATCTAGGGCATGGATGAGAATTGAGAAACATGTGCTCACTCTGAGTCAAATAGAAGACTGAGCTCAAGAAATGGCAGCTTAGACAGAAGCAGAGTACTTCACATTAATGTCACATTAGCTTAAGGGCTGCTGGCTATTTGATTGTTGATGTTGGTCTGATTTATATAAGGACTGAGATGGTCCTGGGACTATGAACTAAAAAAGAGTTGAGCCCCCTTCCCCAGGGGTCAAAGAGCACCAACAGATGGCAGTAGAGCTTGGGGGAGAACAGCCAAACAGAAGACACCAGTATCATTTATCACAGCTTGATGACATCATCAGAACAGATAACCTGAGCAGTCCTATGGGGAAAAAACAAATGGTAGGTTTAGAGGCAGAGAATTACAATCAGGATGACTTAGGAATGTATTGATATGTGTGTTCCCTTTCTAACCAGTAGAAAAAAACAAATGTGAAAATCTGTATGTTCCTGTGTATGGGCAAGGGTTTTTTTTTCTTGTTATTTATCTTGCTACGCTATTTAATTAGTATCTTTTCTTTTAAATTAATGTATCTTCTGGTTGGTCTAATAAGAAGGAAATTGGCACATAAGAGTTATTATGATTTTGAATAGATGCTGACCCAAGGCATGCCTTCAGCCTGGGGTTGCTTTCTTGGGACCCTACATTCAATTCAAGAGAATTCTGGGTCACAAAGTGGTAGGGGGGCAAGTGAGGGGAAGTCAGAATTCAGAGCACTGAGTTCTTTTGGGGGATGCCTAGAACCCTTCCCAGGGCAGAGTGAGGGGCTCTGGACTGTAATTGGTAGATGCTGGAACTCTATGCCTATATTGTGGGAGGGAGGGTCCTGTTAGTAGATGATAGACTTTTTAGTCAGATTTACCAGGGAGGGCTGGGGTTTGAGAGGGATAGAACCTTAGTGAAAGGCATCATAATATAGTAAAAAGTGAATTGGATGCAGGAAATGTTTTTTTTTTTTGCATGACTTCATATTTGCTGCAAGGGTTTTGTTTTCTAAGGGAGGATGTGAAAAGAAAATAATTTTTCATTAATTAAAAACATTTTAAAAATGCATTAGATTTGGGTCAGAAGACTTTGATTTGAATTCAAGTGCTATTACTTACTACCTCTGTGACCCGGAACAAATTGCTCTGGGATACAGTTTCTTCATCTCTGTGACAAGGCGCTGGCTGCATGACCTCTGAGGTTCTTTTTAGACCCAAATCTATGATAGTCTGATCCAGCTCTGAGCTCTGAGGTCATCTACAAAGCAGGGTTGGCTTCTTTTCTTTTTTTTTGGTGAGGGGCAGGGCTCCTGTAACGGTTTGGTAGTGTATCTGTTTTCACTTGTTAATGCACCCTCTGGCAGCCTACTCCAATTCAAGCACTTTTGCTTTAACACCCAAGTTCTCTTCTAATTCTAATTCAATGAATGTAAAGGTAAGTACAATGGTTGAGTAGGTTGGTTGTTTTTTTCTGACTAGAGTACGAGAGTAGGTGAGTAGGGTTTTTAATAGCCACCCAGAGTGAAATCTTAAGATATGCCACCAGGGGGCAGTCGAAGGAGCTTTGGCTATCGCTACCCGGGGCTTTCTTTCTCGCGGGTGCTTTTTCTTCGGTCCTGGATTTCTGGGCTTACACTGGAAAATACCTTCACCTCCTTCTAGGCTAAGTCTAGGCTTTACAATGGAAAATCATCATCACACAATATTTCATAAATTTACCACAATTGTCTCCTGTCCCTGTTCCGTACTGTCTAATCTCCTTCCCACATACATGATCCAAAAGAAAAACACACTGGTATTATTATTATTTATATTTACTGAAGGAAATTTAAATTAAAAAGTATCAGATTAAAATCTTTGCTGGGAGAGAGAGAGAGAGGGAGGAAGGGAGAGAGAAAGAGAGAGAGAGAGAGACAGAGAGAATCATTATCCTCATTTTATAGATGAGGAAACTGAGGTCCTGCCAAGGATCCCACAGCTAGTGTCTGAAGTTGGATTTGAACTCAGGTTTTTCTGACCTGAGAGCTTCAGCGCTGCACCATATTGCCACCGAGCTGCCACAAAAAAAGTTAACATTTATTTTGCCCTTTAAGGTTTACAAATCACTTTCTTAACAACAATCCATCAAAGCTGTAAGAGGTTAAGACCAGGCCATATGGCTAGCTAGGGTCGGGGCGGAATTGCATTTAGGCTCTGCCTTGGAGTTCACTACTTGGCCCACCACATCACAATGCGAAGTGGGGTGTGATAGGGGCAAAGGCGAGAGGGCCAGGAGAGCTGTGAGAGTGCTGTGTAAAGACTGGAGAAGGGAGGGATCGCATTCACTTCTCGCTTTATCTACGTTAGGATTTTAAAGGTAAAGAATCGGAGCGACCATGACGGGGACGCAGCCATCTTTGTTCCTGGCAAGTGGGGGGGGGCCCTCCATGATTCCAACTGGCAAAGGACCAAACGGCTCTAGAGCCACAAAAGGGCAGGCAAGGTCCACGTCGGGTCCGAGCCCGCCAGTCCAGGACGACCAGGAGCTCGGCTTCGCCGCTAGCCGCCTGCCCGCCCGGCCCTGCCTCGGGGCGCTCCCTTGGGCTCTTCTCTGAGAGTCTTAGCAGAGCACTAGACTCGGCACACGTCCGGGGAGGAACCGGATGGGAGGCTCCACCTGACCGGAAGCGCCTCGCGAAGATCACATGATTCCTAAACTGGCACCTGTTTGTTACTTGCTCGGGTCTTCTCTGCACTGGCCAGAAGTGCCTGAGGAGTGGGTACTGGCCACGTAGGTTATATGGGGCGACGGTAACCACGTCCTGCAGCTTCGGAGGAGGAGGAAAGACTCCCGATTGGAGAGCGAGTGGGCCAGCAGGCCTGGCCCAGTACCTCCCTTCTGCCCCTCGTAAGTTGGATGAGACCGCCGGGATCTCCTGCCCGGGGCCAGGCTTTGACCGCTGGTGATTGCAGACCCCACCATGGCGTCTGCGGACACCTGGCAGCAACATTCAGACTCAGAGAGTGAGTATTTCCTGACCAGGGGCCCCTCTGGGGGCAGACGCTCCCGGCGTCTGATGTCCAGAGAGGCCTGGACAGGCCTGGATAATGACCTGGGCTAGTGAGACTCAGGGGCCACGAGTCTGGTCATCCCATGCTGCCGATGAGCACGGAGTGGGATGGTGGAAAGAGTGCTGAAGTTGTGGTCAGGAGAGGTGCGAGTTCGAATCCTCCCTAAGCCTCTGTGGTCACCGCTGTGAAGCTGAGAATGTTGTTGTTTCACCCCCCAGGGCTTCATCTTCCCCATAAAACGCGGGGTGAGGAGGGGAAGAGGTAGGGATCGCCTAAAGTACCTTCCAACTCTAAATTTACAATTTCATCTATTTATTTATTTATTTATTTATTTTTGGCTAGGCAGTGGGGTTAAGTGACTTGCCCAGAGTCACATAGGTAGTAAGTGTCAAGTGTCTGAGGCCGAATTTGAACTCAGGTCCTCCTGACTCCAAGGCTGGATGGAGCTCTATCCACTGGGCCACCTAGGTGCCCCCTAAATTTACAATTTTATGAATGCAATAAGTTCAGTGACTTTATGAAGTCACTTACCCAGTATTGCATAGCTAGGGGAATATCAGAACTAGGATTTGAATCCAGATCTCAACTACAAGCCCAGCAGTTTTTCCTTTATACTGTAGCTGTTCTTTGATGGGTAGGTCATTCCTCTCTGAAGCGCCCATTTCCTTATCTGTAAAATGGTTCTAATAATAGGGCAATGTCTACTTTTTTTATTTTATTTTATTTTATTTTATTTTATTTTATTTTATTTTGTTAGGCAGTTGGGGTTAAGTGACTTGCCCAGGGTCACACAGCTAGTAAGTGTCAAGCGTTTGGTCTGAGACCCTGATTTGAACTCAGGTACTCCTGACTTCAGGGCCAGTGTTCTATCCACTGTGCCACCTAGCTGCCCCAATGTCTACTTTACAAAGTTATTTTAAGGAAAGTGCTTTAAAACTTAAAGCCATATAAGAATGAGTTCATAGTATTCATAACGGTGCCTTTAGTACCTATTTCACACAGTTAAATGTAAGCACCTTGAGGATATGGTTTGTCTCAACTTTTGTATGTCTCCCCAGCGCAACTTAATTTTGATAGATTGCTATTAGATTTTGGATCAGATGAATTATGTGTATAAAACACTTGATAACCCTTTAAAGGCCAAAATAATATTAATAACTCAGCTATTGTATATCGAATAGTCCATTCACAACTCATAATACTGAGCTGCAATTGATAGAATTTGAGGACTGAAGTGAACTTCTCTCCATCCACACATCCCATGCTTTCCTGAATTTGCATTTTTTGGCATGTATTTTGGGGGGATATCCCTTTGTCAACTCCTAGCACTTTGTGTGGAAACGCTACCCATTCTCCAAGGCCAGGTTTTTTTCTGAAGCCTTCCTGGATTCCCCATAGCTTAAAAAATTTTTTTTCAGACCTCACATACATCTTTGGACAATCTTGTGCATTTATAATTTATTTTACATTATAGTTATTTCTGTATGAGTTAGAGCTTTTCTCTTAGGCAGTACATTCCACAAGAGTAAGGACAGCTTCTCGTTCCCCTCCCCCCCAATGCCTAACACAGGATATTGTATATAATAGGTGCTTATTAAATGCTTGCCAAATTGAATTAAAGATTCTTTTTGCCCTTCCACTCCTAGGAGAGGAGCTTCTTCCTAGAAAGTCCCGTGAGCCAGAGACTCAGTCTGTCCACTGGAGAAACCTGATCGGTTTTTGGTGAGTGACTGTGGGAGAAATCAGAGGGGATAGAGGAGGAGGGACCAGAGTGGACCCTAGGAAGAGGGGCGAAATGGACAGAGATGGATTAGGGAAAGAAAAAGTAGAGGGGTGAAGGAATAAAGTGGATGACAGAGGAGAAGGACAGAAGTTAAGAAATAGTTCCTACCCTGAAGCAGCTTATAGTCTAGGTGTTTAGATGGAATGAATAAATGAATGAGGGTTGGGGAGCCATTTATTCAGTAAAAACTCTGGGAATGCAAATAGTTTTCTGTTTCTACAAGACAGTCCCTGCTTTCAAAGAGTTACATGCCAACGGGGAAACAGCACAGAATATAAATACATGAAAAGTTGAATTGCAGTTGAAGATTTTGTGTTAAGAATATGTTGACTCATTTGATTCAATCCACTCATTTTACAGATTAGGGAGGTGAAATCCATAGAGGAACTTAGTGGCAGAACCAGTACTTAATGCAGAACTTTGCACTTAGTAGGCTCTTTATATAAAGTTAATGAATAATGAATAAACTGGGGTTAGGACTTGGGTCTCCTGACTCCAAATCTAATCTTTCTTTCCCTATGCTACCCAGATCTTAGAGATCTTTTCTTTACATAGTCCAACTTTTTTATAGTGGAGGCTGATATGCAAAGAAGTGAAGTAGTTTGGCCAAGTGTGTTGTAGCAGAGCTGAGACTGCAACTCTAAGGACAGTAATAGGATCTCTATCACAAAGCAGTATATGCCAAGAATTAAATTAGTAGTAGGCCAGATAGGTGCCCTGTTTTGTTAGAGTATGAAACAGTTGCTTCAGGGTAGGATAGTTAAAGGGGCCTTCTTGGGAGAGTAGGGCTTCAATCTGAGCCTTTGAGAAACTGGAGAAAGAGACAGGAAAAGCAGAGAAGAGAGAGGAAAAACAATGGAAATCACTTTGTAAATAGTGAAATGTTAGTACCTGGGTGTGGTGAGGAGGTGCAAGCTGGTCAGAGAATAATAGAGGCAGAAGGGGCTCAGAGGGAAGTTGTCTTTTGAGCACTGCTTCCCTTTTCATCTCTAGGCTTCTGGGTCTTTGCAACAACTTCTCCTATGTGGTGATGCTCAGTGCTGCACATGACATCCTCAGGAACCAGAGTGCACCTGAAAATAACAGCCATGTGAGTGAGTTATTAGTTATAATAGGGCTTCCAGTTTAAAGCTGGTAGGGACCTTAAGCATCATCTAGGTATTCTAGATAATGGAGGGTCATCCTTATCTTTTCAGAGGTGGAAACTGGGGCTCACAAAGGCTAATCCACAGTTACACATTCAGTTACTGGTAAGAACAGCATTCATTCATTATTTATGTAGCATATTGAGCACTAATTATGCTATGGGGTTATGTATAGATAAATAGGGCAAGTAGGTGGCACAGTGGATAGAGTGCTGGGCCTAGAGTCAGGAAAACTCATCTTCCTGAGTTTAAATCTGGCCTCAGACACTTACTAGCTGTGTGACCCTGGCCAAGTCACTTAAGTTCTGTTTGCTTTAATCCACTGAAAAAGGAAATGGCAAACCACTCCAGTATTTTAGCCAAGAAAACCCCATATGGGGTCAGAATAGTCAGATGTGGCAAAACGACTGAATAACAACAAGGGGAAAAGAGTACAGCTGTAATATGAAGGGCAGTTTCCTAATAATCAAATGAAGGTTCCAGAGAGCACAGTGTGATGTTAGGATAGAGTGGGATAAGGATATGGGAGGGATGGTGTTGACATGGATGGATATGAAGGGGAATGGGGAGTGGTGGCCAGAGAAAGGAACTTTCTCCCTAGGCAGCCTTAGATTCAGAACATGGAGATTCTGAGTAGATACATAGAGCTGTAAATTTTCATTTGTCACACCCTTCTCTAGAGCATTGGTATTTGATTATTCCCGCAGTAAGAGGTGGAAAGCATGGGATGGGAAGGGGAGAGGAGAGACCTTCATAATGGTCAGGGTTGGGAGGAGGAGAGTACTAGTGCTTGGCTTATTGTAAAAGGGTGAGGTTTGAGGTGCTTAACCTTCAGTCTTCAATCTTGGTCAGTTTGCCCCAGTTCTAGATCCAGAGTTGGGGAGTGTTTCTCAGGAAGGTTGCTCAGAGAAAATTGCTTTGTAATTTAAACTTTGAAATACTCTTCAAAGGAGTAGCAGTTCTTGTTAAGCTATTAGGTAACTGAGACTTTTCCTTTCTTCATTCAGGTGGATCCAGAGCCGAGTCCAGAGCCGACACCTATTTCTCACAACAGTACATCTCGATATGATTGCAACCCTGTGTCGACAGCTGTGAGTGTTGTTTGTGGTTCCCTGAAGCCTTCTACTCCAGCCCCCATTTCACCTAGTTAAGGTCCTCTAGATCTGAGTGCCCTGCCCTTCTGGCAACAAAAAGAGATCTGTCTACCTAATCCATACAAAACAGCCTTTTTTACTTTCTGTGCTCTGACTCATCAGGGTAATCTTTGGTTTCTGGGGCCCTGACCCTGGATTATCCAAAGGGTTAAGAATGAAATCTTATTTATAATTTCTATCCTAGGCTGTCCTCCTGGCTGATATTCTGCCTACATTTATTATCAAGATGCTTGCTCCTTTTGGCCTTCACTTGCTGCCCTACAGGTCTGCAGGACACCCAGGGTGGGGGTGGGGAGGGGATAGAAATGAAAAGGAGGAACATGATATAGTTTAGTTTGACGTTAGGCATGTCACTTAATTTGTCTATGCCTCATTTTCCTCATTTGTGAAATAAGGTTGGAGCAGATATTCTCTTTCATTCCTTCCGCTCTAAACCATATGATTCTGTGGAAGTGCACTGGCCTGGAGACCTGGGCATTGGCCCCAGCTCCATGTCTAGTTATGTGACTTTGAGCCAATTACTTGTCTGTATTCTTCAGTTTCCTCTTCTTTAAAATAGGAGGTTTGGTCTAGGTGTTGCTAAGATCTCTTCTGCTTCTAAGTGACTTTTAAGATGGGATCTGGGTGGTAAGTGGGAGGAAGAGAAGCAGAATGCTGGAAACACGTAAAAAAGATCATGGTCTGAGAGTTCAATGGGGTTAAAATTGGAGGAGGGAAAGACTAATTGACCACCTTTGTCTCTAGCCCTCGAATTATCCTTTGTGGGGCCTGTGCTGCTAGTAGCTTCCTTCTGGTTGCCTTTTCCCAGAAAGTTATGACAAGCCTAAGTGGTGAGTGGTGTGATTGGGAGACTAGTCCACAGGACGGTTTAGTTTGTACGATTGGGGTGGCAGGGTTGGGGCAAAATGACACAAGGTCAGGGCTACATGAAGAGAAAGATTTGGTCAATTCCATGGGGCTGACCCTTTCTCTGTCCCCACCTTCCTAACTCTAGGTGTGGTCCTGACCAGTATTTCCTGTGGACTGGGGGAGATAACCTTTCTAGCCCTTACTGCCTTTTACCCCAGGTAAATTAAGTGAAGGAAAAGAGTTTGAGGCAGGGTTTTTCTTTTCTTTTTTTTTTTTGAGGGGATGCAGGGAGTTCGGAGCATAGCAGTCCCCCTGATCTCAGTCCTACATCTCTTCTTCTTGGCTGTCTCTTTTTCAGTGAGGTGGTTTCCTGGTGGTCCTCAGGCACTGGTGGGGCAGGAGTACTGGGGGCCTTGTCCTACCTCGGTCTGACCCTGGTTGGTCTTTCCCCTGAAAACACACTAATCTCTATGCTGGGCATCCCTGTTCTTCTGCTGGCCACGTGAGTATCTCTTCCTGTTTCAACTTCTGTACTGTCCTTTAGGGAGTGGAAAAGGGATATGAGTCAGGAAGAGGGAAGAAACTTTGAGACTCTCTCCTCTTTCTTTTTTCTTTCTTCCAGTTACTTTCTGCTGCTCAAGTCTCCAGATTCATTGGCCTCCCAAAGAGATGGGGTGCTTGAGACCTCAGCTCAGCAGCCCCTCGCAGCAGGAGAGAGCTCAAAACCCCGTGAGTGAGTTGGTTTTCTTACCAAGCCTAGGAGACAGCCTGGTAGACGAACTTGTTCTGTGATGTTGGTCACATCACTTAGGCTATTGGGGTCTTACTTTCTTCACTTGGCAAATGAGAATAATAAGCTCTGGTTCACAGGTACTTGGGGTGGGGTGGGTCATATGAGGTCAAACATAGGAAAACATTGTGGAAACGATATCATTGCCTGCAGTTAGGAATTATTATTATGACTAATGATATCTTATTGTGTGACATAGTGAAAAGAGCATTGGATTTGAAGTCAGGGGATCTGCGTTGTTAATCCCAATTCTGTTACTTAACTGTTTGTATAATCTTGGGTTTCTTCATCTATAAAATGAGAGAGTTAGAATAGGTGACCTCTAAGATCCCTTTTAGCCCTAAATCTGTGATCCCTTTAGACCTCCTTTTTAAAAAATACATTTTTTATTACTAATAAACTTTAACAAGTGTAAACATTTCAATGTGCTTAGAAAAACAAAAAGAGAATTGTATATGAAACCGGGGAATTCTGTTATGTACATTTTGCCTTTTCTTCCCCTCTAACATGTACATCTCAGGATTTAAAAATATATGTAGTCCAGGGGCAGCTAGGTGGCGCAGTGGATAGAGCACTGGCTCTGGAGTTAGGAGGACCTGAGTTCAAATCCAGGCTCAGACGCGTAACACTTACTAGCTCTGTGACCCTGGGCAAGTGACTTAACCCTAATGCCTAGCCAAAAAAAAAAGTACATCTATATCTACATATCTATCTATAGATAGATATGTGTGTATATATCTATATCTATATCTATATATATCTATATGTAGATATAGATGTAGATATATATTTCAAATTTACCATGGCAGTTCTGACAGTTCTCTGCTTGTCTGTGGGCCTCTTTTCCTGGGCCTTCTCATCAAGAGGGTAAAGGATCAAATTCTTTCTAATTCACTCCTCTTTTCTAGCAGACCCCAACTTCAATCAGAGCCTCTCTTTCAGTGACAGGTGGAATGTTTTTAAGGTATGGGGGAACAGGATAGGGGTAAAGTGATATTACTTTTGATGTGGGGGTAGGTAAGGGAATAGGGTCATTAATGGGGGGGTTATTGTTCTAGTGTCTGGCCAGAGAACTGTCAGGCCTAGAGCTGAATCTAACTTTGCATCAAAAGCTCACCCTCTTAACCTCTGAACCTTCCAGGGTCTCCTGAAATACATCGTCCCCTTGACTCTAGTTTATTTTGCTGAGTATTTTATCAACCAGGGGCTGGTGAGTAAGAAGATGTTGGGGAGGGAAATCAGGAAAAGGGAGTGTGAGGATTAATACCTGAGGGTGGGATAAAGGGGTAGGGAGGAGGCATTCATAACTCCCTTTAATCTACTTCTCTACCTAGTTTGAGCTCCTTTTCTTCAGAAACACATCTCTGAACCATGCCCAGCAGTACCGATGGTGAGAATAGAAGTGGGGGGAGGGTGCCTGAAGGGGGCAGGTTCTTCTGAGAACAGGGCTCTTCCAATAGAAGGGGAGCCCTTCTTACCACTCAGTTCTTCACAGGTACCAGATGCTATACCAAGTTGGAGTCTTTGTCTCCCGATCCTCTCTCCGTTGCTGCCACTTCCGTTACATTTGGCTGTTGGCAGTGCTTCAGGTACAGTTCCCAGTTCTCTTTTGAAATCCTTTTGTTCCTTCATCCTTCCTTTGTTTACAAGTCCCCAGCACGTTTATCATTCACTTGACTCCTAGAGACACTTGCTGGTGGAAAACAGGGAACCTGAGCCTTAGGCAAACTTTGGGTGTTGTAATGAAAAGAGCCCTGGACTTTAATTCAGGATACCAGCTATGCTAGTTACTTGCTATGGACCCGTAGGGAAAGTCATGTAACTTCTGCCTTTTTATTCATCTTGCAAATGGGGAGCGTAATCCTTGTATTACCCACATCAGAGGTTTGTTGTGGGAAGAGTTGTGCTTTAAGGTTTACAGAGTGCGCCATAAGTGTGAGATTGGTATCAACGAAGAGTTTCTTTTGTTTAGCTTTTTTTTCCCCTTTTTTCTAGCTCTGAGAATCCTATTGAAGTTCATTATTAGTCTATCCCAGGGATGGGGAACCTTCAGCCTCGATGCCACATGTGACCCTCTAGTTGCTCAAGTTCGGCCCTTTGACTGAATACAAAGTTCACAGAACAAATGCCCTTAATACAAGGATTTGTTCTGTAAAGCTTAGATTCAATCAAAAGGCCTCACCCATAGACTCTGTCCCTTCTCCTTTCAGGGCTATGCCCTTCCCTACTTAGTGATTCTGTTACTGACATCCAGTTCTTTTTCTCCACTAGTTCCTGAATCTGGGCTTCCTGATGGCTGAAGTGTGGTTCAATTTCCTTCCCAGTATCTACCTTGTTTTCCTGATCATTTTGTATGAGGGATTCTTGGGTGGGGCTGCCTATGTAAACACCTTCCACCGAGTTGCCGTTGAGGTCAGCAGGATTGGGGTGTGGGGATCACGGGGAGGGGGAGGAAATAGACTCCTAGAGTGAGCGTACAAGGTCTTGTAGTCTGATTTATCATGTAGTCAGGTACTGCTCCTTAGTTTTGTGAGTCTGAAGTACCTAGTCCCTAACCCTATGAAGGGGAGGGTAAAGCAATAATTGGGGAGGAGGAGGAGAAAATGGAGATTCTTTTGACTGATCTCTCCTTTGCTCCTAGACCCAGGATGAGCACCGGGAATTTGCCATGGCAACTGCCTGCATAGCAGATACCTTGGGGATCTCTCTGTCAGGGGCCTTGGCCTTGCCTCTGCATGATTTCCTATGCCAGAGTCATTGACACTTGACCGATCTTGGAGCCCTTCCTATAGCCTGGGAACAGAATAAGCTAGAGGATGTACTCTTCTGTGACTTTTATAGTCCAAATCCTCTGGATTTGGATGCAAGAGAGACTTAATGAATGTGCTTGTTACAGTGGGGCCAAGTGGATGTTTGGGGGCCCTGGAAGAATGTCCAGGAAGATCCATATAATTTATCTTCTACCGATAAACTGAGCTTTCGACATCAGACTATCAATTGAGTACTGAAATTTGACATTCATGCTCTCCCATTAACAACATATTTTATCAAATAGCCCTGTGTTCTCTTTCTGCAGAAGGAATGTAGATGTGCATGAAGCATAACAAGGGTCAGCAGATATATTTGGGAGTTAAAAGGAATGTTTGAGGTTCTGAATGTGCTCAGCTGAGGAGAACCAATGAGGGTTAGTCTGCCGTCTAAAAGCTGATGTGGTAGGTTTTCATGATGCTAGCTAGGCCTTTGGGGTGAGGCTTCCACAGCAGGGACTCAAAATAATCCTTCCTTCCTAATGAATAGCATAAACTTATTTTTGTTTCATTACAGGATAGGGTATACAATGGTTCCTAGGTACCATATGGCTGTGGTATATCAAACAATACCCCTCTGTCCCCAGTTCCTCTCCCAGTTCTTTCCTTATTCTTCCGCCTCTACAATTAACACTACAGGAATAGTCCTGTTGACATGATTATTATACCTCACTAATAAGATGCAATAAAGTGCCCATTAAAATTATCTTAAATGTCACTTTGGACTGTTTTTCCTTTGGCAAAAAACTATAAACACTTTTTATGAAAATAGTTACATTTTGTAGCTGTTTTTCACTCCTGTCCCTTCTTATCCCAAAGGAAGTATTTAAAAATCAATCTATAACTGCTTTTTTAAAAATTTGTTAATTTATTTTGATTTATCAACAATCACTTCCATATGCTTTTGAGTTTAAAATTTTTCTCCCCCTTCCTCCCCACCACCCTCCCCAAGATGGCATACTATCTGATATAGGCTATACATTTACATTCCTATTAAACATGTTTTCACATTAGTGATGTTGTAAGTAAAAATTAAAACCAATAGGAGGAACCATCAGAAAGAGGAAAAAAACTCAACAGAAGGTAATAATAAGTGATAGTGATTCAACTTCCACAGTTCTTTCTTTGGATGTGGACAGCATTTTCCAACATGAGGCCTCTGGAGATGTCTTAGATCGTTGTGTTGCTGAGAAGGGTTAAGTTGTAACTGCTTTTTATGTAATGTTTGCATTTGATGTTTGTTAAGCATGGAGATTCCACTAATAGATGTCAGACTTTTTCTACTTCACTGGACAGATTTAGCTATGGCTAAAAATGTTCACTCCCTGTTGACCAGTCTTCTGCCGGTGAGCTTCTCTTACCTTAGCTTAGCTGATGCTCTCTTGCTCAGCCTGTGCAGGACCTTTCAGCTTGAGAGGCCTTGCCAGAGCCTGTATTCTGCCGGCCTGGCCTTTGGATCCCGGTGGCATCTTCATGCCCCAGGGAGGGATCAGGTTAGAACCCGATAAACAGGATAATAGTTCACATTTACATAGCACTTTACAAATCTCTGCAATTTTGTGTAGCTCTGATGAGTTTTTATGGGTAAAGACAGTAAAGCCCCCAGAGGTTTAGGGTCTTGACCATCATCATAGCTAATGAGCTTTAGAGCCAGGACTGAAAATCAGGTCTTCTAACTCCCAAATTGAATACTTGGTCTCTTATACTATGTTGTCTCCCTAACACACTAGGCAAAACAGTATGATCAAAGGAAGCAGGTCGTGTTCTTGCTCTTTATCAAACAAACCTTACTTATATTGCAGTGTTTATGTTGTTATAGATATGTTAAGTGAAGGAATTTTGGTGAATGAAATTGATTTTCCTCTATGAATTGCAAATTTTAAGCAGACACTTTTCGATGACTTTGTCCTAGCTCTAAAAAGCTCGCCAGCTATAACACTTTCATAATAATTTAAGGTTTACAAAATTCTTTCCACATGCCCACCTTGTGATGTATGAAATCATCGCAAAGCCTGGGGTTCTACAGCAATTTTTAGTCTTTCTCCATTCATAGCTAAGTAGAAAATGACTCGAGTTTCATCGGGGACCTTGGAGGCTAGGTCAGTGGAGTGGTGTGGAAAGAGCACCGGGCTCGGTGTTATCCTAGGGGTGACCTTAGGTAGGGCACTTAACATCCCTGTGTTCGTTTGCTCTTCTGTGAAGTGAAGGGCTTGGAAGAGATGCTCTCTCAAGGGGCCAACTCTAGATCTTACAAAATCTGTTGCAAGAAATTATGATCAAAGTTTGACTTTAAAATACAAACAGCACACTAATGGTTTTAATAATCAACAAGAATTGACTAACGTGCCAGGTACTCTGCTGGGCACTGGAGATCCAAGACAGAAATTAAATAGTTCCTGCCTTTGAGAAGCTGCCATTCTGTCAGGGCATTTGACACAATTGGAGGCAGTGTGGTATGATAAGTGAGGGCTTACATTCAAATTCCCCGGTAACTTTAGGCAAATTATTTTCTTCTATCAAATGAGAGGGTTGTATGGCCTCTGAGGTCTAGCTTTTAACTTAGCTCTATATCTATGACCACATAAATATTTGTTAAATAAATAGAAGGTCATGAATTTTTTGGAGGGAGGTGGCGGTGGTGGATATATAAAGCAGCTTAGGAAAGGCATCATCTATAAGGAGGCTTTTGAGTTGAGCTTTGAAGTGGGGAAGGGAATAAGCATTTATAAGTCACCTACTATGTGCTAGGCACTGTCCTAATTGCTTTACAAATATTTCATGTGACCCTCACAATGACCCTGCCAGGTAGGTACCTTCAATTATGCCAATTTTTTCAGTTGATGAAGCTGAAGTTAAGTAACTTGACCAGGGTCACACAGCTAGTGTGAGGCCATCTTTGAACTCAGATCTTTCTGACTCCAGGCCTGAGTTTGGAAGCAAACTAGGGATGCTGAGGGCAAGAGGGAAGTGGTCATTTCGATGAGGGTACAGCTACCCTCTGATGGAAGATGGAATATTCTGTGATGAATAGCAAGAAGGTTCTTTTGGCTAGACCAAAGAATGTGTGACAGTGATGTATGATAAGGTTAGACAAACGGGTTGGAACTAGATTGTCAAGGATTGCATTTTATCCTAGAGGTAATAAAAAACGACTGGAACTTTTTGAGGGGAGTGACCTGGTCAGATCCCCGTGCTTTAGGAAAATCACTTTGGCATCTGTGGGAAGGATAGAGTAGAAAGAGGAGAGGAGTCAGGGAATCCATTGAGGAAGCTATTGTAATACTGGGGTGAGAGGGGATAAGTAGAGAGAATGGGACAGGTGAGAGATGTTATGAAAACAGAATTGACAAGATTTGGTACCTGGATAGATATTTGGGTCAAGAAGTATGAGTAGCAGAGGATGACTCTTCTTTCACTTGATTCCAAATCTTCTGTAGCCTAGTAGCTTCTGACCTCTTAATTTAAATGAAATTGCTCTTTCCAAAGATAGCAATGATCTCTTAATTGCCAAAGCTAAATGACCTTTCCTTAATCCTCATCCTTTTTGAACTCTTTGCAGTCTTTGACAGTGGCGGATCATTCTCTCCATTCAGCCAATAAAATGATTTTTCTAAAGTGTGGGTCTGACCATATAAGCCCTAAATGCATCCCATAAAATCCGGGGTCTTCTTATTAACTCCTCCAGTATCTTACATTTTTACTTCCCTCCACACACTCTTCAATTTAGCTACACTTATTATTCTATATATGATATTCTAGCTCTTCCATGCCTGGAATGTTCTTCCTCTACACTTCTACCTCCTAGCTTCTCTAGCATCTTTCAAGATTCAGCTCAAATCCCAGCTTATCAAGAAGTCCTCCCCCATCCTTCCTCCCTTCCCTTCTCTCCTCTGTGGCTACTTCCTCCACTCAGATATTTTCCACTTAACGCTGTGTGTATATGTGTATGTGTGTGTGTATGTGTAGTATGTATGCTTTTTTGCAAGCTGTCTTCTCCATTGGAACATGATCTCCTTGAGAGTAGGGGCTGTGATTTTACCTTTCTTTGTATCCCCATTGCTTAGCATACTTGGTTGGTTGGTATCCTTTGTTCTTGAAGAAGACGAAAATGACATCACTATGTCAAGTTGCAGCGTGTCTAACTGTGGCTGATCAGACCAGTACGAGCTCAGAATGCTCTACCATAGGTCGGGCACAAATAAACTGTGTGAACATGTGGGGTGGATTCTTTAAATTTTCACATCCTATGTTTCCTTTGAGCTACTTCAATTTTGCTTTGCTCATAGAGGACAGCACCTTCTCTGATGAGGGCATGCCATGCTGAGCGGTCCTGTGCCAGTGTCTCCCATCTCACACAATCAATTCCAAAGTTTTTAAGATAATGTTCTTGTACCATTTCTGACTACCATGTGAACAATTTGCCCTGTGTGAGTTCTCCATAAAATAGTCTTTTTGGCAAGTGTAGGTTCTGCATTCAAACAATGTAGCCAGCCCATCGGAGTTGTGCTCTTAACCTGTGGTGCATCTCAACTACTCAGTGCTGGTTAAGCCACATTGATTAGTGATAAGGATATGAACCTAGAGAAATGGGCTGAATACTTCCACAGTGTTCTCAGCAGACCATCATTGACCGATGCTGAGGTCATTGACCATTTACCTTAGGTTGAAATCAGTTCCTCCCTATATGAAATTCCAACTGAAGAAGAGGTTTTGAATGCCATTAGGCTCCTTTCCTATGGCAAAGCAGCTGGTGCTGATTTATTCCAGCTGAGATTTACAAGATAGGGGGTCCATATATACTGGAATAAGGTATAAGAAGAGGTATGAGGGGCTGGGTTATGAAGAGCTTTGAATGTCAGAGCATTTTATATTTGATCCTGGAGGCAATAGGAAGTCACTGGAGTTTATTGAGTGGGGGCCATGGCATAGACCTGTGATTTAGGAAAATCACTTTAGTGGCTGAATGGAAGATGGATTGGAGTCCAGAGAGACTTGAGGCAGGCAGAACAGCAGAAGGTTACTTCAATAATCCAGGTGTGGAGTACTGAGGGCCTGTACCAGATTGGTGGCAGTGTCAGAGGAGAGAAGGGGGCATATTTAGGAGCTATAACAAAGGTGAAACTGGCAGCACTTGGCAACAGCTTTGACATAACGGGGTGAGAGAAAGAGGAATCCAGGATAACTCTTAGGTTATGAGCCTCAGAGACTGGGATAGTGGTAATAATGGAAATTTGGGGGGAGTAAGGG